CTCCCTGCAGCGGGTTGAGTGGTACCTTGACCGTCAGGGCCGCGCTGCTGGAGCTGGTGACTCTGCTCCTGGAGCTGTTTTTCCTGGAGGCTCTGCTGCTGCTGAGGGTGCGGGCGCTGGAGGTTCTGGTGCTGCTGGAGGTCCTGGTGCTGGTGGCGCTGGAGCTGGAGGTTCTGGAGCGACTGAGGGTGCTGGCACTGGAGGTTCTGGAGCTGCTGGAGGTGCTGGCGCTGAGGGTGCTGGCACTGGAGGTTCTGGAGCTGTTCGAGGTGCTGACGCTGAGGGTTCGGAGTCTACTGTTGCGCGGTCTCCTTGGAGTGGCCGCCTTCGTCCACGTGTGCCTGTCACCTCACAGCAGCTGCACGACTGGTACGGTCGCCGTCTGCGTCGCGCTTCTGGAGCTGGGGGCTCTGCTGCTGGAGGTACTTCTGCTGACGTCACTGGAGCTGGGAGTGGTGCTGGTCTCGGAGGTACTCGTCGTGGGGGTACTGGTGCTACTGGGGCTGGAGGTGCTGAGCCTGCGGGTGCTGCTGCTGGAGACACTGCGGTTGGAGACCCTGGGACTGGGGGTGCCGGTTCTGGGGGTGCTGCTACTGGTGACGCTGAGTCTGGAGGTGCTGGCGCTGGAGGTACCGGTTCTGCGGCTGGAGCTTCTGGAGCTGCTGGAGGTGCTGGAGCGGCTGGAGACGCTGGAGCTACTGGAGGTGCTGGAGCTGCTGGTGCTGGTGCTGGTGCAGCTGCGCTGACACGACTGTTCTTCGCTCCGCCGTCTCCGTCGTCTCTGCCGCCGCCTGACTCTGCTCTTCGTCAGGTTGTTACTCTCCCGTCGTCTACTGGTCTTCCCTTACAGCCTTCCTCACCGCTGCCTGCTCCCTCTCCTTACACTGAGCAGACAGGTAGTCTTGCTGAGCGTCGTGAGCCTGCGTCGCGTCCTGTCTCGCCTGTTCGTCCTTGTCGTACCGTTCGTCGTGTTCCTCGTCAGCGTCAGCCGGCTGTCCCCGGCACACCCCTTGTAGCCCTGCGTCGGTCCTCCCCTCCGGAGCGTACTCCTCTTCCGTCTCCCCCTGCGTCCTCTTTTCCTGACGCCGTTGGCGGATCCTGAGTCTGACCGGTTTCGTGCTGAGCACCCTACTGTCACGCGTCTGCTAGCCACAGTTGTCACTGACCCGTCATTTGTGTCTGCTGCGTCTGCCTTAGTCGCTGAGCTTGTTGACTTTGCTGCTGCCTGTCGTCTAGACTTCGCTGCCAGTCTTGTTGCTGAGTCTGAGTCTGTCTGACCTCCGTCCGTCGGGGGTGAGTGTGCTCTTAGCACGGACGTCCTTGAGGACAGGCACGAGGACCTTGAGTGTCTTGCGGCTGCTGCGCCTCATCTCGTGGCCATGCTGCTTGCCCCTGAGGGAGACCCGGATGCACCAGACATCCCGACCCCGTGCTCTTACGCTGAGGCGATCGCGGGTGAGTACTCCTCTCAGTGGCAGACAGCCATGGACGCAGAGATGGCATCCTGGAAGTCCACAGGCACTTACGTCGATGAGGTTCCCCTTCCAGGGGTGAACATCGTCGATGGCATGTGGATTTTCATGGTGAAGCGGCCGCCGGGTTCTCCGCCTGTCTTCAAGGCTCGTTACATTGCTAGAGGCTTCAGTCAGCGAGAGGGAGTTGACTTCTTCCAGACCTTCTCCCCCACCCCGAAGATGACCACTCTTCGGGTACTGCTGCACGTTGCCGCTCAGCGTAACTACGAGCTTCACTCTCTTGACTTCAGCACAGCCTTCTTACAGGGCAGCCTGCACGAGGAGATCTGGCTGCGCCGCCCACCTGGCTTCACTGGGTCTTTCCCTCCTGGTACCCAGTAGAGCCTCCGGCGGCCAGTCTACGGTCTCCGCCAGGCACCTCGTGAGTGGCACGATACACTGAGGACTACACTTGCGGCTCTTGGGTTCGCTCCTTCCACTGCTGACCCGTCGCTGTTTCTGCGCACCGACACTTCCCTGCCGCCGTTCTACATCCTCGTGTACGTCGACGACCTGGTCTTTGCCACTGCTGACACTGAGGCTCTCGCTCAGGTGAAGTCGGAGCTGCAGAAGAGACACACGTGCACAGACCTGGGTGAGCTGCGCAGCTACCTTGGCTTGCAGATCACCCGGGACAGAGCACGCCGCACCATCACCCTGACTCAGTCACACATGGTGCAGCAGGTCGTTCAGCGCTTCGGCTTCTCCTGGTCCTCCCCACAGCACACTCCTCTGGCTACAGGTCACTCGCTCTCAGCTCCACCTTCGGACGAGTCCGTAGAGCCGAGTGGTCCTTACCCAGAGTTAGTTGGCTGCCTCATGTACCTGATGACTTGCACTCGTCCTGACCTCGCGTACCCTCTTGGCCTCCTGGCTCGCTACGTGGCTCCTGGTCAGCACCGACCTGAGCACATGGCTGCTGCTAAGAGGGTACTGCGCTACTTGTGCAGTACATCGGGCATGGGGCTAGTGCTTGGAGGACGGAGTGAGGTGGTGCTCACTGGGCACTCAGACGCGTCTTGGGTTGACGACCAGACTACACAGCGGTCGTCACAGGGTTACACCTTCAGTCTTGGCTCTGGCTCTGTTTCTTGGCGGTCTACACGCTCGTCTTCTGTTCTCAGCTCCAGTTGTGAGGCTGAGATCTACGCCACCGCCATGGCTGCACAGGAGCTACGCTGGCTCACCTACCTGCTGACTGACTTGGGTGAGCGGCCTCGTTCTCCTCCAGTTCTGTACGTTGACAACAAGGCGGCCATTGCCTTGTGTGAGGAGCACAGACTGGAGCACAGAACGAAGCACATCGCTCTGCGTTATTTCCTGGCTCGAGAGTTGCAGCAGCGAGGTCAGCTTCGTCTTCGTCACGTGGCCACTCGGGCCAACACTTCTGATATATTCACCAAGGCACTTCCGTCTGGTGATCATCAGCGCTTTTGTACCCTGTTAGGCCTTGTGCCTACGTTTCCACACTTGCTGTAGTCTTTGGTTGTACTGTGATCTATATATATATTCTGCATGCTTGCCCTTGCTAGGTAGTGATCACTGCTCTATTGTTGTTGCATATATATATACTTCTGCATGTGAACTGGCCTTGTGGCCCTTTGCTTGTGCTCAGAGAGTGTGGTGACGTTGTGATCCACCCTGAGCTTGCTTTGCTTCTCTTGACTGGTCGTGTGACCCTTGTTCTCCCCCACTTTGCCTATGGGGGTGTGTCAAACATATATGCTGCTTATTATGTAGGCTGTAGTGGGGTAGCCCATATGGGGTACAACCCAAATTAGGGTTTCCTACTTGTACCCATCTTCCTGCTAGTTCATTCATTCCTGCTGCTAGATTCTAACATTCATTACCGTATGGCCCCGGATATAAGCGCAGGCCTATTAAAAGCGCATGCGCTTCTATCTGGAGCAATGCGCTTATGGCCGATCCTCAATTATAAGCGCACCCCCTAAAATAACTTGATTTATTATAAGCGCATGTTAAATTTCACAATAAAAATGTGTGAAAAATACTCTAACGGTTTTCCTATTAGTGGGTGAATGTGTTGCAATTTCAATTCTCCTCACATTCGAACCCTGCACAGAATTCGAGTCCAGTCAGCATGAGCTGTCAGGGGCGGCTTGTCAGTCACATCGACTGTATCTGCCAGCCGCGCCAGAATTTCATTCACGACCCCATGTAACTTCGACTCGATTGAAAAATCCAGCACGAGATCTACAGCTTGGTGTTCAAATATTGTAAATCTATACTTGGCATTTTACAAGCGCATGCGCTTATACAAACGACTCAATTATAAGCGCACCCCCCTAAAAAACACTGATTTATTATAAGCGCACCTGCGCTTTTATCCGGGGTAATACGGTACTTTCGGCTCTCCTCCAGTCCACCCCGTTTCTAGCTTCTAGTGCTTCTCTCACCCCACCCCTCGCTCCCCAAGCCAGCCTGCTTCTCTCACCCCTCCCCTCGACCCCTTGCTTGCCATGGACCCCGTTGCTAAAAAACAAAATGATCAGCCCCATCATGGTGACATACACAAGAGTAGCAGTCTTTAGTCTGACATGCATGTGGGCCACTAGATGTGACACACTCATAAGACATAATTAAACTGAGATTTGTCCAAGTCGTTGAAATAAGGATGCTGAAGGGCATCCTTTGCAGCAATCCTTTTGGCGGGATCGTACTCCAAGCATTGCTGCAGCAAAAAACAGAATCATTAAGAAAAAACCAACCCCCTTCTCAAATTGCTCAAGCACACAACTCACCTTCAATAGATCAACACCATTCTTGTCCAACTCTGGCACAAACCAAGCAAGGTTCTGGGCACTCCACTGGGGGAACTTGCACCAGTTGTGGTGATTCGAAATACCAGGCCAGATTTTGTCGTCGGGGGTTCCAAGCACACTATACAGTCAGGCACAGTGAGGTTAGTCAGTCGATCATACCAAACCATATGTAAGTAGGCAAGGAAAATCACTAGAAGATTCGATGCAGCTGCTGTAACTCTGAGTTGCCTGGGAAGAGGGGCACATTATGTGCCATCTCCGCTGAAACCATTGTGAAGGAATGATAAGCCTGCAACGATGAGCATCAACTGAAAAGGGTCAACCACAAATATTACGTACCAAATATGCAGCCAACCGACCACATATCCACGGGCGTTGAATAGTGGGTTGCGCCAAGAAGTATCTCTGGCGCTCGATACCACAGAGTTACAATCTGCAATCAACAGCGATGGATTTGTGCGATATCAGAGCTTCTGAAACTTGTCATCACAGCTTAAATTTGCCGATGACGTTACCTCATGTGTGTAGCGCTTGATAGGAATGGTGAATGCACGGCCCGCCCCAAGGTCAGCTATTTTCACCAAGCCCCGATCTTTGTCGACAAGAAGGTTCTGCGGCTTAAGGTCTCTGCATATACGAATGGTGATGTTAGATTTACCTTGAAAGACTTAACAAAAAGAAGCGTGCAGAGCAGAATCATCACCTGTGCATAACTCCGTGGCTATGGCAGTGGGCAACCCCTTTGAGGAGTTGATACATGAAATTCTGTAATCAAGTCAATGAAACAGGCAGTAACATGAAGATTACATTTCATGCGCCCTGAGGAGGCAATGACAACTCGATTACACACCTTCACAATTTTAGGTTCCAGCGCGAAGCTTGGGCCCTTGCCACGCGCATCCATGTACTTCTTCAGATCGAAGTCCAGGTACTCAAAGACCAGGTAAACCGTGGTCGTGTTGTACTCGATAATGTGCTCAACGTTGAGTAAACTGAGAGACGAGATGAAAAAGTAGGATGAGATAAAACCAAGACCGAATGCTAAATGGAGGGCCCTTGCATGGCGGGACTGCTTGTGTTCTTACCGTACGACATGCACGCTCTTTGAAAGCATTGTCAAAAGAGAAACTTCACGAATGGTTGTCTGTGGAACTCCCTCTTCCCCCATCTCCGGAAGGGTCTTTTTCAGCGCTACTGTCGTGCCAGTCTTCTTGCATCTCGCTTTGTAGACCTTCCCATAGGTACCTTCGCCTACTTTCTCAAGCTTTTCGTAGTCCTCCATGTCAAAAAACGAGTCACGAAAAGAGAGGTACAGAGCTTGCTTCTATAACTCTGGTAGGAGGCTATGACGACGTGTGTTGCAAACACGAACTGGCTAAGCTCAGAGACTGAGTAGATGGCCCAACAGAGGTGGCTTTAAAGGCAGTGACCGTCCGAATCGCACCTGGCGTACCCTGCGAACCTGGGTGGATTTTCGGACCCCATTGCAAACGACGGACCGCGATGAACAAGACTCGGTCCATTTCAGGGCTCGTCTTCTCTTTAGGCTGCTGTGGCTGGATCAGTGTGATATCCATTCGGCCCATGAGGGTACTCAAGTTCATCCCTCGAACCTCGTCTGCTCCCCCATAATTGGCCAAAATCGGAGTGACGGACCTTTTTAGCCTGCAAAATTGGTCCGTGCCCGTAGTGTCTGACAGAGGGAGGGAATGATCAGCAGGCCCGTTTTCGAGTTCCCAATTTCCTTTTGTGGTCGTTCTCAGTGCGTGTCACTTTTCCTGATTTGACGGTACAGACGGCTAATAGTTCGTTCGTGCCACGGCATTCGAAAACTGTCGACGACCTACCTTTCCAAGAACTCTAAAAGTATAATTACACTTCCGAGTTTGACGTGTTCAAGTTCTCAATTCCCGCCAGCATTCGAACATCACTCGTGAGCGCGGCTCGGGATCCTACTTGTACGACGTTACAACGATCGTGATCTGAATTCGCATGCAGTCATAAGCCCGTTTTTTTGTGCGACGATGGCGACAATGTACTGAATTGGGTTGCGCGACGACTTCTTCGAACCTTGAAGTGCGTTCCTTTTGAGTTCCCGAGCTATCTGGTTCGACAGATGTCCAGTTCGAATGATGGGTATTCGAATTGTTCGCTTCTGGTTTGGATCTCTGCGGGTTTTGTGTGATTTTTTAACCTCGTTATAACACATTTCGCGCCTCGCGAGCAAATCACTTTTCTTAAAAGCGAACCAGAGGTACCCGCTTGAAACTGTTTGAAAAATATGGAACGGTGCTTTTGATGTTCAAGTACCGCAGCAAGCCAAGTGTATCCTGCACATTTCATCAGTTCTCCTCGTTCCAGGAGTTTGCATCTAGACGGTACATGAAGATTTTCTTCTAGGGCGGAAGAGATTAGGAATCCTATAGCTGGTAGTGCATCAGCAACGTACTTGTCTGGATTATACTTCCTCGAGTCGTGGCAGACTTGCATGAAAGTACTTAGTCCTAGTTGCAAGATTTGGTGGTCACCTGTGTTGGAACGTATTGTAGGCTCTACAATTTCTGACAAAAAGAGATCCTATTTCCCATGGTGATATACACAAGAGTAATAGCAACGTGATACGAAGTATCGGAAGAGAGCATGAAAGCACGATGCAGTTTGGCATCCACGTGGGCCACTAGATGTGGCGGCGCACTCAGAAGAGAGCATCAAACTGCGTTTTGTCGAAGTCATCGAAATAAGGATGCTGAAGGGCATCCTTGGCAGTAATCCTCTTGGCGGGATCATACTCCAAGCATTGCTGCAGCATAACACAGAATCGATAAGTAACTGGAGACTAACCGCCTTGACAAATTGCTCAAGAACACAACTCACCTTCAATAGATCAACACCCTTCTCGTCCAACTCTGGCACAAACCGAGCAAGGTTCTGGGCACTCCACTGGGGGAACTCATGCCAGTCACGGTGATTCGAGACACCAGGCCAGATTTTGTCGTTGGGAGTTCCAAGCATCCTGTAGAGTCAGGTATGAAGTAACGCTGGTCAGTTGATCATGAAATAAAATTTCCAGTATGTTGGCCAAGAAACAGCTGAAATATAGCTGAATACGTGAAGGGCAAGCAAATGTCCACTCACTTGAAGATGTGAAGCAACTGCTGCAACTCTGAGTCGCCTGGGAAGAGCGGCACCTTGTGTGCCATTTCCGCTGAAACCATTGCAAAGGAACTATTAGCCTGGGAAGATAAGCATCAATAGCAACAGACCGATGGCAAACATTACTTACCAAATATGCAGCCAACCGACCACATATCCACGGGTGTGGAATAGTGGGTTGCGCCAAGGAGTACCTCCGGAGCTCGATACCACAGAGTTACGATCTGCATTCAGCACCGATGGATTTTAGTGTGATACGGAGGACTCTGAGACCTGTTATCATAAGTACTTCAATGTCATTACCTCGTGTGTATAGCTCTTGATAGGAACGGTGAATGCCCGGCCCAATCCAAGATCAGCAATTTTCACCAAGCCTCGATCTTTGTCGACAAGAAGGTTCTGCGGCTTAAGGTCTCTGCGTGTACAATAAGGGTTGTTAGTTTGTTTCTATTGAAGATGTTGACACGGGAATACGCGTGCAGCGCTGGGTTCTCACCTGTGCATAACTCCGTGGCTATGGCAGTGAGCAACTCCTATGAGGAGTTGATACATGAAGTTCTGCAATCAAGTCAATGAAACCGTCAGTAACATGAAGACACACATTTCAAGCGCCCTGAAGAGACAAAAACATTAAATTTACTCACCTTCACGATCTTGGGGTCCAACGGGTGGCTTGGGCCCTTGCCAATCGCATCCATGTACTTCTTGAGATCGGTGTCCAGGTACTCGAAGACCAGGTAAAGCATGGGCTTGTTGTACTCGGTGATGTGCTCGACGTTGAGTAATCTGAGAAACAAAACGAATATCACGATGAGATAAAAGACACAACTAGACGGGAAGGATAGGGTTCTGATGGGTCTGGCTGTGTTCTTACCGCACGACATGCACGCTCTTGGAAAGCATTTGCAAAAGAGAAACTTCACGAAGAGTTGTCGAAGGAACGCCTTCTTCCTCCATCTCCAAACGAGTCTTCTTCAAAGCTACCGTCTTGCCTGTCTTCTTGCATTTCGCTTTGTATACCTTGCCATAGGTACCTTCGCCTACTTTCTCGAGCTTTTCGTAGTCCTCCATGGAAAAAAAAAAATGACACGAATAGGAGAGGTACAGAGGCTGGTTCAGGAGCTCGGGTAGGAGGCTGTGAAGACTAGCGTTGCAGGAACTAACTGGGCTAAGCTCGGAAACTGAGTTGACAATGGCTAAACAGAAGGTGGACTTATGGCAGCGTGGAACGACACCTCAAAAAGGGGAGATTCGAAAAAGCGCGGGATTGTTGTCAGGCAACAGTGCGCGTCTGCTGCATGACTGGCGTCGCCACCGAAAATGGGCGGGAGGAGGATGGAGGTGAAGGGAGAATTTGAAGGGGTCAGAAGTGCCTTCAAACGAGTTGGTTTGTCAGGTCCGCAAGCTTACGGACCTCAGGATGAAATTACTACACAGAGCATAAATGAACAATAAGATCTTTTGTCATTACAATATTATTGGCGCACACGTTAATATAAAGCTCTCATAAGCATCTCTCTAGTTATCCACGGCTACATCTCTCATGGCTACAATTTATTAAATTTTAATATTATTCAAAACTGCTTCTTCTGGACTGAGAGGTTTTTGTTGTCTCTGGTATGAAAAATTGATGCATAAACATAGAGTAGCAAAGGCTTACCTTGGAGATCGTTGAAGCAAAAACGGGACCAAGCAACAGAAACGGTTAGCGACGACTGTTGCAGCAAGAAATGTCTGGAAAAGAATGCGTGGGAAAACTATTGATACGGTTATTGAATGTTAGGATTGTAAAAGTTAGTGTAGTATCACCTTAGGTTTCTATCTGTTGGAGGTGTACCCCAGTTCTGCCTTATCTACCTATATCATGTACCTTGCTTTCTAGTCAAAGCCCCTTCTCTTCTCTCTCGTCACTCTCGCTACATTCCCAAGCAGGGCCTCAGAAGTCAGGATGTTTACCTGTCAGAATCCCAGTCACTAACCACTGGGATAAAAGGGCTTGTTTATATAGCGGGTGAGTGCGCCCATAACCCCCCAGGCCGACGTGCCTGTAACCCTTCCCTAGGATCATCGGGGATCCCCAGTGGACCTCTGACACCCCCCCGCACTGGGATGCCCGAAGTGCACACACCGGGAATCGAACCCGAGACCTTCGCTCTGATACCATGTCAGAATCCCAGTCACTAACCACTGGGATAAAAGGGCTTGTTTATATAGCGGGTGAGTGCGCCCATAACCCCCCAGGCCGACGTGCCTGTAACCCTTCCCTAGGATCATCGGGGATCCCCAGTGGACCTCTGACATTACCCTGAATTCCTGAAGTTTGACCCTCGTTTTTTATCATGACCCTGATCCATCAGCCTATTTTTTTTTAAGACCCTGATGTTTCAGTGTTTTTTTATTTCGAACACTGATTTTTCAGTGTTTATATCGAGCGCGACCCTGAATCAGAAATTCCCGCCTTGCCTTTTCGTCGTGATTGGCGGCGTCACTTGCTACCTAAGCAGCCAACTACGGGACAACTTCAGCTGCAATCCAATTTAGCCAGCGCGGTTCGCAAATGCGATCCCCAGTGGAAGAAGCTGAGGGGTCGTTATTTGCCCGCGGTCAGAAAAAGAAAAAACCCATCTGGATGGCATGCGATTAGGGGAGCCCCAACCCTAAACACGGGGAGCCCCAACCCTATTCACGGGCAGCCGCATGGTTCTGCCCGAAAAGATCGCATTTGCAAACACGCACTGGGAAAATTGGATCGCAGCTCGAATTGACCGGCCAACCACGGTACCTACGTGCGTTTTTGCCGAGATTGAGCCCATGAGCGATGATGATTGCCCAAATTCCTCGCTAAGCTAAGTCCATTGACGAGTACAGCGATAACAATCAACGTAACAGTGAATAACAACGCTTACTGGTCAGCCTCTATAGTTTTTTGAACACTGAAAAATCAGTGTTTTCAACACGACGACACTGAAAATCAGTGTTGGCCTTTAAGAGACACTGAGCGATCAGCGTGCCCCAAAACGAATCTGAGGCCCTGTTCCCAAGCAATTCATAATCTAACATGGTATTGAGCAAGGTTACCTCATAGGGGCCTCAATTTTTATTATTATTATGGACCCATCCATTCTCCCT